ATTTTTGTGTATTATAAACTGATTGTGTATTTATTGTCTTTTGCAAGATTTCACCCTCCCCTGCCCATATCATCACTTCAAATGTATCTAAGTTGTAACGAAGCTCAGAGTAACATTAGATTTTAAAGTTTATTCCAACTTAATTTTTGGCCTTTCAATAAAAAAATAAAAAAAATAAAAAATAAAACGTATGTGCAGTTTCTTTAAATAATTTTATAATTTTTTAAACTTAATACTGATTAAATTTAAAATTGGTAATTTTTAATTTTATAGTAAAATTTAATATCAATTAGTTAAAATGACTTCGATTTTAGTCTAACCCTAACATTAAATCATTAATTAATTATTATAACCAAGGTTCGTTGTCAAGTTTTTTGAATTCTCATACTTGTATTTTGATTGGTCATTCCAGCTTATGTAACAGCATTTCCCCTAGCAAGGAGCATTTGATTGATTTGAACCTTTTAAAACACTTTATTCTACATTCAACACAATCACTTGATAAGACACCAGAAGTGTTGAAACAGAATAGCTATTTTTGTAGTGATATTTTATATTTATATTATAATTTTCGATTAAATAATTATATTTGCTCTACTCTGTATTGAGCACTCTTTTAAGAATATTTTTTGGTTATTGGAATTTATTCCATATACACTAATCATATACTATACTATATATATATATATATATATATATATATATATATATACCCATATTGACACGTATACACATGCATGTATACACTTTTACACACATTTATATACACATATAAACAAGTATATACATGCATATATATATGTACACACTCACACAAACCTATACATGTGCGTATATGCACATATGCACATATATATATATATATACACACACACACAGAAACATGTATACACAGGCATATATGTATATATAGACGATTGCATCTAGCACAAAACAGCCTCTCACCTTTGAGTGTTGACTTCAATGTTCAATTTTATATTCATATAAATATAAAAATTCCACCTTAATGGAATTTTAATGATAAATCCAGAATAAACACAAAAACAAAATATTATAGTCCCGGATAAATTATTTGAGCATCAATTTACTTATCTTCCGTTTGATATTACATAAGTTTCATCAGGCATGGGAAGTTAACATTTTCATACATTGCTTAAAGTATGATACAACCTTGTGTTGAAATTAACACATGCACTTATATATAAAGCAATTTTTACTGAAGATTACAGGATACATTATTCTATTTTCACTTGCTTTTGTAAAAGTTTTTAAGGAGGATTAGTAAGAAATATAGTTTTTTGTTTGTATGATTTTTCTCTTTTTAAGCAAAACTCATACATAAAAACAGAGATAATGTACAGGTAGACACTTAAATGTTCTTGGCCTGACCAAGTAGCCCTCAAAATAAAAATCTGATATTTGTTCAGATTTTACTGATTTGTTTTCTTTGCAGGTTAATTAAAGCCAGAATTTTTTTTTTTTGTTTAGATAAGAATTTTTTGGAGCAAAATAATTATTTAGTCATACAAGTCTTACTAATTAACCCATAGTGGGGGCAGGTGAGTGATTCATACCTTTCCTAAAAGGGATGTGAGCATAAGTCAATATAATGAACCCAACTGGAATTGGAACTACATTCCAATTAGCACCTGGCATTCTATTCTAGGTACTAACCAGATTTGATGTTGCTTAACTTTTGCAATAAGGGAACCAATGTTTCAACATGATATGGCCATAAACCTTCACATTTTAGAAAGTGGGTCAGACCAAGAACTTTTCAGCATTCCCTTGTATGTCTTTTTTTTTTTTTGCAAATTGCGCCAAGCTTAACAGGTTGATCAAAAATTTATTATGTTGAGTAACTTTTAGTTTTAACATCAGTAAATAAAATCACTTATGTAAGAATTCATTTTTTATAGTTCTTTATAGCTATTTACATTATTCAAACTGTTATACTCATCTTCATTGCCATATTCACAACATTTCCGCTGTCTAACACCCCCAGGGTGTTGGAATTTCCAATCTAACCTTTTATTTTTCATCCACCTGTGGTGGATTGTTCTTAATTCCACATGCCATGCCCCTTCCAAATGTCATAAACTTCTTTACCTCAATATCCAAATTTTCATCACTGCTGTAGCCTCTCAAAACTAGTCACTTGATTCTTGCCAACACCTTTATCCACTGGGCCATGTCATCCTGAGGACATTTCTTTATGGAATTCCTGACTTTATAAACCTGTTCCCAACAAAGTTTTGGTTTAAAAAAAAACACACACACTTTATGCAGAGATTATATTGGCAATTTTTCGGTGTTATCCTCATTTTCTTTTCTCTCTAGCTTCCTTGTTACTGGTTCTTCCATATTCCCGTATCCATTTCTATGCTGGTCAATTCAGATTTGCTGAAGAGTCTTCCAAGTAAGACCCTCACCTCCAGAAACGAACATGACTAATTTTTGTTTATAATGCAATCCCATGCAGCTCTTTTAAGTTTATACAATGGAGAAACAGGCTGCCCTCTTAACATAAGGCTCCAAGAACATCGGAAAGCAGTAACATGTGGGGAAATAGAAAAATCAGGTGCAGCTGACCACATATGGAGGTAAAAGGGAGATCACCGCGCTCTGTGGGATGAGATTGAAATAATAGACAGAGAACATTGGAAAATATGAAAACTTAAGGAATCAGCACATATGCTAGGCCACAAAAAAAATCTCCTGAGGCAACCAAGCATAGAAATGAATGCAATATGGGAACCAGTAATAAGGAGTGCTACAGAAAAAACAATGAACAACACAAAAAATGCTATATAAGCTCTGGTAAAAAAAAAAAAAAAAAAAATATGCAATAATAATACAAAAATTGCAATATGAGCACTGGTAAAAAAAAAAAAAAAAATCGTTGTAGATATTAGGTATATAAAGTCCCAGAAATTCATACACAGATGTCCTCAAGGACACATGGATAAAGGCGTTGGTTAGATCCAGTGACTAGAGACAAAGAATTGGGAATTCAATATCAGTCTACAGCAGAGGTTAAAGGGAAATAACTGAGACATTCGAAAAAGGCATTACCGAACATTATAGAACAATCTACCATGGTGGACGAAATGAAGGGCTTCGTTCAAAATTCCAACTTGAAGAAGGCCGAAATGTTGTGAATATGGCAATGAAGATTAATGTAAATAATCATACCTCATCTCAGAGATATAGACAAATATTGTTCTTTGTAGCTGATGAAAGGGTTTCTAAGACAATTAAAATAACAATTTCATGGAGGTGAAACAGATTTTTAACAGATTGTAAGTTATCAACTGCCAATTTGACTTAAACTGTTCATACTTACCATTAAAAGAGTAAACAGTCATAAATGTGTTGTTAGCAGAGAAACTGTGGTGAGAGCTGATGACAATAAAAGAGTGACCATTTAAAGCAACTTTTATTTTTTGATTTGATAAGATTGAATCAAATCAAAAATTTGTCCATAATACCATAAACTTGTGAAGACCAGCAGACCAAACCATTTAGAGATCATAAAGCAACAGCCCAAGCTTCACTATTCTTATTTAAAGCTTGAGTGATTCTTTCTAATAACTGTTAACACATCAACATGACCTAGAGAAGCAAAAGCTAGATTGCTTGTCTGAAGGACCCTGCAAGGTGAGATGCTTAACCAATGAGTAAATTGAAATCGATATTAAAATATAAATTTGCATTAACACCCGGTATAACTTATGTACATAATTACTTTTGAAATTAGTTCTTCAATCTTTTCTATAAGAGGTTTACTGAAAGCAGTATATTCTTAAATTCTTAATTATAATGTCAATATGAACATTTAATATTCATACCTGCTAGTTATCTTATATTTTATTTTTCATAAGCTACCCAGCTTGAAATACAACTGATGAGGGCCGGAGAGCACAATAGCTGAAACATTGCGGTAACAAAGATGAGGACAATAGTCCAAATATAAATAGTGTAGATAAAGACTTTTTTGGACTCATAAAATATGAGTAACTGAAGATCATATCAAGCTGAAAATTTTTCAAGGAAAATGTGTTTAAACAAATATCAAATAAAAAGTGACAATGTTGGGTAAAATATGTTGGACTTTCTTTCTTTTAGAGGTTTTAATCCACTGGTAATTATATTTTATACATAATGCATAAAGCTTTTAAATCAAGTAATCCATATAAATTGGGTAGGAACAATAGTTTTTTTTTTTTAAAGATGGATGGCGTTTGAACATTTTGATTTACACATGAGTGAAATTTACATATACAAGGTTTTATCAAAAGTATCGGGACTGTTGCTATGGTAACAGAGCAAATCAATCTATAACACAGGCCTTGAAATCGATTAAGGCCAATAGGCGACTGGGGGCGGATGATCAACATTCATCACTGGAATTAGATTGAGAAATTTTTTTTTTTTAAAGATAATGTATAATCTTTATTTGAACTTTTCATATTTTTTCTTTAAATTTTTATGATGGGAAATTCACAAGAATTTATCACAAAGATAATTTACATTTAATATTTTTCTTCAACAATGAGCATATCAAGTATAAAATTATATTTAACATAACAGGTATTTCTTCTTTAAAAAAATGTTAAATTTTTCTCACCTTTGTAAATAAATAGGAGACATTAAAAATAAAAATGTAATGTTTTTCACTGTAAAAACAATGAAAAATGACACTTATAGAATTTACGACCAAGTTAATATCAAAAATTAAATTCAATAAGTTTAATATTTTACAACTATTCTTAAAAACATACCACAAAATGTAAGAGACATTGTCAATATTGGTTCTCTCTTTTTTACTTTTTTTGGGGCATTATTTTAAACAGTGAAATTCACAAAAAATGCTATTAAGAATTTTGTCACAAAGTTATTTAAATTTTTTCTATATGCTGTTTATTATTCTTCATTATAACCAATATTTTGATTGTAAAATTCACTTTTTAATGAATAATTTGTTTTCTTTATGTATGTTAATACAGTCTTGAAAAGAAAGAGAGGAAAAGAAGAGAGGGAAAAAGAAGGAAAAGAAAAAGAAAGAGAGGGGAAAAAGAAAGAGAGGGGAAAAAGAAAGAGAGGGGAAAAAGAAAGAGAGGGGAAAAAGAAAGAGAGGGGAAAAAGAAAGAGGGGAAAAGAAAGAGAGGGGAAAAAGAAAGAGAGGGGAAAAAGAAAGAGAGGGGAAAAAGAAAGAGAGGGGAAAAAGAAAGAGAGGGGAAAAAGAAAGAGAGGGGAAAAAGAAAGAGGGGAAAAGAAAAGAGGGGAAAAGAAAGAGAGGGGAAAAAGAAAGAGAGGGGAAAAAGAAAGAGAGGGAAAAAAAAGAGAGGGAAAAGAAAGAGAGGGGAAAAAAAGAGAGGGGAAAAAAGAGAGGGGAAAAGAAAGAGAGGGAAAAGAAAGAGAGGGAAAAAGAAAGAGGGGAAAAGAAAGAGAGGGGAAAAGAGAGAGGGGAAAAGAAAGAGGAAAAAGAAAGAGAGGGAAAGGGGGGAAAAGAAAGAGAGGGAAAAGAAAAAGGGGAAAAAAAGAGAGGGGAAAAAAAAAAGAAAAAAAAGGGAAAAGGGGGAAAAAAGAGGGGGGAAAAGAAAGAAAAAAGGGGAAAAAAAAAGGAAAAAGAAAAAAGAAATGACTAACTTTTTACAGTTCAAATTTTCTTATTTTACTATACAGAAATTTGCCTATTTGAAAAAATAAAAATTAATTTAATATTTTGTCTGATATTATTCTTCATAAATATATTGGCTTAATTTAAAAAGAAAAATTTACAGGAATTGGGAGGGGTGGGGGAAAAATGTTGGATCTTACAAGCATTTAAAAATGTAAATCAAGTTACAAAATCAACTAGTTTAATTTTTTTTTTTTTTTTACAGTAAATTTTTAAAAAATATACTGTAAAAATATTAAACTTGTTAATTTTGTATTTTATGAGGGAGGAGGTGATTGATCCACACCTCCTTCCCACAAAATATTATTATCCAAAATTTAATTTTCCAAACTCTCAAGTTCCCCATGTCTGAACCCCAAATTCCTTCATCCTGACATTTCTTAACTCCATATTGTATTATATATATATATATATATATATATATATATATATATATATATATATATACAATAGAGTAGAGCCCAGCGTTGCCTGGGGATGTAACAGTAAGAGATAGATCAACCATCAAAAAGACTGAAAAATAAAATTGATGGACACACGTCTTAATTAGTTTTTTTTTTTTTGTTACAAATTGGTCAAACCCAAACAAAAACATTTTTTTCAATCATTATGAGTCTACCGATTGAATAGAATTTTATTATAAACAATTGTCTTGTAAATGGAATTTTTAAAGCATTCTGAATGTAAAAAATACAGAAAAAAGTGTGCAAGACAATAAGAAATACTACCTGCCAAAAAAAAATGTGAAGGTTTGTTGAAAAATGTAGGAAATCCGATCCCATATATAAATGAACACACACACACTTTATAATAAGTATTTGTATGAATATGGGAATCTTTAAAGATTCCCATATTTATACAAACTTTAAATTCTGAAACCTAAATTCCAAACCCTCCAGACCTTAGAACATACGTTTCATATACATTTTAGAAACACCATGTAATTTTTACAAAATAATAGTTTACTTCAATATTTTTCAATTTCAGTACCTCAAAACCTTTCTCAAAAATGGTCAAAAAGTGCTAACAGGTTGTCGTGGTAACTATGATGACCAAAATAAGGTTTGTGTATTTTGTCTTCCCCAAGATCAGAATGAGCGAGAACGTATCTTACAGCAAGACAACACCACTGATAAACCAAACACTGATATTTGTGAAAGACATTTTCCATTTGATGGAAACAGTGGTTATTAAAAAAAAGTACAACCCAAAAACCGACCATCAGTATTTGATCCTGTGCCATTACCTAGTCCTCAGTCAAAACCAAGAACAAATGCAACTTCTGCTTTTGTGCAAAATAAGGAGTTGACAGAGTCTCAAGAAAAGGACAAAATCCTTACTTTTGAAAATTTGTATTAGAATATCTATTAAGCATTTTGTGTCAGCAGTTACATGCTATAAATCAAACAATCAGTTGTTCAGCCAATCTACTGATTTTTTTTTTTTTTTCCATTGGAGGTATTTCAATGAGTTTTAATTAAAATTTTTGAAAACAAGATTTGCATGCATACATACAATTTTTTTTTTCCTCTCTTAAGAAAAGTAGAATATCAATTTTTCAGCAATGGTCATAAATCAATGAAAATTTATCTTAGTAACTTGAAAATTGATAAAAAATGTTTAAAAGAAAATTAATATTGCCACAAGAAAGGATTGAGACAAAACATGATGATTCTGCTATTCTTATCAGGGCTTTTGAATATTTTGCTACATCTCAGTCATTATATAACAGCCTTCAGGATGTTACCCACTGTGAGAACATTATCAGCTTTGGCATTAGATGACTAATTTTATTGGTGATATTTTTAGTAAAATTTCTGAAAAATCAGAAAAAGTGTGTTCTTTTAGTTGATGAATTGTATGCCAAATTGGATCGACAATATCATGGAGGAATCTGGTTCGGTTTGGTTGAAAATTTCGAAAACAGTATTGGGCATCATGGTAAAATGTTTAAATAGTAGACCAAAAATGTTACTTAAAATGATCCCAGTTGCAAAATTAGATGCAAATTTTCATATGAAAATTTTTTTTTTGATGCAATCTAACAATTAAATGATATGTGACAATATTAGGACCCATCATTTTTTTTCTCAAAATATTTGACAGTTTTTAATAAGCCTTGGATAACCAAAAATGGCTTGTACTTACTTTTTGATTATGTTCACATTCTTAAAAATATTTGAATTGAATTATTGAACCTACTCCTGAATTGGTTTTATTCTGGTGTCCCCACTCCAAACGAGAGCAAATTGTGAAATTGTAAAAAAGTTTTTGAGTATGAAAAAAAAAAAAAATTTGTTAAGCAGTCAAAACTAATGTAGCAGTTTACCCAAAACCTATTGAGCAACAAAATATTTCACATTGTTTAACAGTTCTTTGTGATAAAACTGTGGCTGCCATTAAAACAGACCCATTACTAAATAGGGAGGATACTGCAGAAACAGTTAATTTCATTAAAAGAGTCTTAAAATTTTGGAAAATTGTCTGTCACATAAATATGGTGACACTAATGATCCACTGAAAAAGTGATATGAGATTTAGATGAACATCTTTCTAATTTGGGGAAAATGACAAAAATAATGGAAGGAAAGCAATATAAAAAAAAAGAATTAAATGATTAACAAGAGATACTAGTTTAGTCATTGACTATACATGCAATGGCTTAATTTATGTTTGCAGAGGGTTTCATTTTGTTATGCTTGGTGAATTTACAAAGAGACTATTTGAAAAATTAAGACAAAGTTCTGGAGGTGCCTATTTTATAAGTTAAAAATGTTATCAAAATTCTTTTAAAAATATTGGAAAAAAAAAAAACTACTTCTTAAATTAAATGTTGAAGTCAAATACAACTTTGATCCAGGCCAAAATTGCTCAAAATGTAGACATTTTGCTGGATGAAATGGGATGCCAAACATGATAATTTACCAGACCTTAAAACTAGGATCACCAAAGACACTAAAATGTCACTTTTGTATATAGCTGTTATACCATAATACCTATTCTATTGTAATAGACTCTCCCACAGATAAGTATTAGTAGCAGTCGCCAGTTGGGCTCAGTGGTGTTGAGTGAGTCTGTCGGACATCGAAGTATCAACCATCACAACTAGATTGCTGCGTCATTAACTCTTATTTCAAGTTCCTAATGTTTTGTACGTCGAACCTAATTTAGGACGACTTATTGAAATACAAGCCTCCACTGTGAAAACTACTCTACAACAATAGCAGGCTATGTTACAAAATTGTCCCACAGAAGAGAATATTTATTAGTTTTTATTTTCAAGAATATGAACTTTTTTGAAAGAAATAGATTGTGGCAATTTAAAAATTCCACTGGATGCCAGATATTTTTTATTTTCAATTTTCCCTCTTTATATATATATATATATATATATATATATATATATATATATATATATAATTGGTTAACTCCCCAAATTGTCCTGTTAATTAATTTTGTGTTCCTATTAATATAAATTGATTTTAATTCTTAAAACTATGTACTGGTAATATCTTTTATTGTACCATAGCAAAATAAGGATTTCCTTCATCTTCTGTGAAACAAATTGTACATGTAACAAAAATCAAATTTTGTAAAGTATTTTCAAACTTTGTTCATATACAATTTTGTAAAAATGATAAAATTTTTTTCTGATTGTATTGGCTCATTTCCGCTGTTTATAGCAGTGTTTGGAAGGAAAATGTTTATAGTGTGTGGTTGTTTCAACACCACGGAGGTTCCATCAGTGACTATGGTTTGTGCAGCAGTTTTCAGCCAAGCACAATATTTACTAGGTCTGATAACCACCATATTCCCCAGACCTCACTTGTTACTTCCCCACTTTCCAAATCCCACTTGAAAAGAAAGATTTAAAGATGTTGAGGAAATACAAAAGAATGCGATAATGGCAGCTGCTCACTATCCCAAAAAAGGAGTTCCAGAAATGCTTCCACCAATGGAAACAATGCTGAATAAAATGTGAGGCTTCAGAAGGGAACTACTTCAAAAGAGATTAAAATGCCAAATTGAAGTGTTGCTTGCTTTTTATAGCAAAAGTCCCAATATTTTTGGATATTATGGAAGGTAACTTGTCAACATGGCTTTCTATGATTCATTGTGAATTGCAAATTCACAATGTTTTTACATTAAAAGTGAAATTGGAGCAGACATTTTTGTCATCTGAAAACATTTGGATATGTTTATTACCATATCTGGGTACCTAATGAGTTAACAAGAAAAGTAAAATCTAATGTATTACATTTCTGTTCACAATTCCCTGTTTGAATGTAACAAAAATTATTCATTTTTGAAAAGAACAATCACAGGCTATGAAAATTAGATTGTTTATAAAAATGTGGAGTGAAAAATGCCCCAACAAAAATTAAATGAACCACCAGTAATCACTCCAGAAGCTGGTCTGCATACAAAGGTAATGCTGTGTATTTGATAGGATTGGAAGCACATGGTGTATTAAAAACTCCTTCCAAAAAAGATGATGTTGAATTTATATAAGTACCATTCCAAACTGAATCAATTAAAAGTGGCAAGTAATGAAAAATGACCATTTGAAAGTTGTCATCTATCAGGACAACATCAGACCTCATATCTCTTTGCAGACCTGGCAGAAATTGATCCAGCTTATCTGAGATGTTCTACTGCACTCACCTGACCAAGCACATTTGGATTGCCCAATTATTTTAATCCCTATAAATATTTTTAATAAGAACTATGAAATTTTGTTTCAACCCCGTAAACTAAAAATTACATTTCCATCATCATAGTTATGTAGAGAAGAAAAAAATTGTGGTACCCCCCCCCCAACACATTAGCATTCCATAGGTTTATGTAATGCTAGTAGATTTAAATATTTCTTAAAACTACTTATCAGTTGAAAAATCACAGGCAAAATAATATTACAAGAAAAAGAAAAGACAGACAGATAAATTGTGAAAAAAAATTTATTCCTATCAGGAATTATTACAAAAAGAAAATTAAAAAAATATGGACAATGGGAATGAAAAAAAAAATCAAGACAATATAATCATGATTAATATTACATTTGAATGAATGGGCAGCAGCAAGGGGCATGGAGAAACTTATCTTACACTTTATTTTTAGTAATAAAAATGATTGCAGAATTCTTGGGGTGGGGATAGAGTAAAAAAAAAAAAAAAAAAAAAAAAAAAAAATTAAAAAATAAATAAAAATAATAAAAATAAATGGTCAAATGAATAAAGACTGCTTGAAGTGCTATTCCAACCATGGAGACAACTGGAAAAGAAGCACTAGCCTGAGCAGCTGTTAATTTATCTACCAGAGGAAAGGTGAACCATTTGACACCGCTGAAGAACAATTAAGATGAAGAGAAGGAGACAGTAGGTACCTATTTCACATACCTCTGGTTTCTTAAGTGGAAATACCTATTTGAGTAACTGGTATCAATCATTCAATGTATCCTGGCTGAGTGAGCTAATTTGTTGCATATTGTAGTATATGACCCCCAAATCTGCACATCAGTATCATAATCATCAGTTTCAGGCATTGGTGGTGGTAGCTGTTTGGCGGTGATGATAATGGTGATAGCCAAGATGGCATTGAGTGATGATGTTGCTGCTTCACTGCAAGAGAAAGCAGAAGAGGATGACTGTTAGGTGGTGATTTGATAAAAATCCCCCACAAAATTAAATCATTGGGGAAAAAAAAAAAAAAAAAAAAAAAAAAAAAAAAAAAAAAAAAAAAAAAATGTGAGGAAAAAAAATGTGAGGGAAAAAAAAAAAAAAAAAAAAAAAGAAAGAGGGGAAAGTTAAAGTTTTTGGGATATAAAATAAAAAAAAAAAAAAAAAAAAAAAAAAAAAAAATTTTTTTTTTTTACTACACACACCTTCATTGTACACCATACATCTTAGCTTATCAATTTAAAAACAATAAATCCTGCTTATTAAGAAAAGCAATATTGTTGGAGGTGACATGAAGAAAAAAAAAAAAGGGAGGGGCACAATAGGCTTTAATGAGAGTATCAAATGTTATCTTAATGGAAGATCTGTCACTGCACCCAACCCTGAATATACTGAAAGCATTTATAAAAGAACCAACCAAGAATGAATATAACAAATGTAATGCACAATATATTTATCATGCAATTAATGAAAGACAAGATAACATCAAAATATGAACATTTGAATGGAGTCAGATCAACCTGAAAATAAACTTGTAAAAACATCTAGAATATGAAATTTACAAATAAAGTTCAAGGGACATATGCAATCCCAACAAGTTAGTGAGAAATAAATTTAAACAATTTAAAAAAAAGTGAAGCTGTCTTTTGTATACAATACTCTTCTATTTTGCTGGAATATTTAATATTGCTTTGATATATTCATTTTTGGGTAGTGAAAACTTAGAATTATATATATATATATATATATATATATATATATATATATATATATATATATATATATATATATATATACAAAACAAAACCTGACTTTAAATATGAAAATGAAATTACACCACATCAAACAGTATTTTTGTAACTAAAATACAAAAAGGCATGATTTGTTTAAAACTATAGACAGACGCATGCAAAATTATATCATTTTAAAACTTTATGAACTAGTGTTATTTAATTTAGAATTCATTGAGATATAACAAGTTGAGTACATAATTTAATAAAAATAATTTGAGAAGGTAAAAGATCCAAGAAAAAAAAAAAAAAAGTCAATTCTAAGTTTTAGAAAGTCTTTAAAAAGTGGTGGCAAAAATAACAGGCAAAATATTGGTGTAAAATTTAAAATCTTATGTATTATCCAGTAAAAGATTTCATAAAAAGAATCCCTTTTTGGATTTCAATCTATTATCTAATTATACACACAGTTACTTGGATTGAAGAACATTGATAGTATTGAATCTCATAAGCAAAATATGGAGGAAATGTTATTAAACTTCTTACCATATGTCATACCAAAAGTTAAATGTTAATTATGAAGTGGGAAAAAAAAACAAGTTTATTTTCATAATTTTATGCTGTACAAGTAATACTACTCAAAGAATGTTTTATTTTATATCCTTAAGAAACATGCTCCGGAATTTGCTACTATTCCCTATAAATTGTACAATGTGCTTTGCTGCTTCTTACTTTCCTGCTTGTTGAAAATTCTCTTCTGAAGAAGAACTCTGGCAAACAGCCTGAAAATTCTCTTCTGCCTAAGAACTCTGGCAAACAGCCTGAACCTTCTACCTCTTTTTTGGCAATGTATTAGAGACTAATTAACTCTGAACTGGTTAAGCACCTCACTTTGCATAGTCTTCTTTCAGATAAGCAATATGGCTTTCACTCCTCTAGGTCAGCTGCTGATGTAATAATGGTTATTACTGAAAGAGTCTATGAAGACTAAGATAACAATGGTGAAACTCAGGCTGTCGCTTTAGAGTTTTCAAAGGGTTTGGTATATTGGTCTTCACAAGTTGAAAGGTTATGGTATTTCTGGACAAATTTTTGAACTGAATGTCTTATTGAATCACCAAGTAATCATGAATCTTCTAGATCTTTTTGCATTAATGTAAGCACCCCCTATGGCTCTATCCTTGGACCTTTCTTGTTCTAATTTTCATCAACATTTCTGATGGCATCAGTTTTCAACTTGGCTGATGACAACCATTTATTCCTGTTTTAATAGTGTCTGATTAGATCAATAAGGTAAAATTGGCAGCTGATCCCAAAAGTGATCTAAATTCTGTTAACTGGGGCAAGGAAGGGCTAATTGATTTTAAAGCCTCCAAAACGAAACTGTTCACTTTTCCTCATATGAGAAGACCATTTTTACCTTCCATCAGTATGGCTGATGCTAACTGCCAAAAGAGTGGCTTCTTGGACTAATATTTTTCCACCAACATGAAATGAAAAGATTATATTGAATAAATTGCTAAAAAAGTTGGTTCCCCAGTGCTGTACCAAATTTTTCTTGCCAGAATCTATCTTACATATTTATATGTCTATCATTCCTCATTTTGAATATTGCTGGCCCATCTACTCTGGTGCACTTGCTAAATATTTAAAGATTCTTGATAAAATTGAAAAGAAGAATCTACAATATCATTGGTCCTGACCTCTCATCTTGGCTTCAGTCACTTTCCTACTATAATGTAGCTTCCTTGTGCCTTTACTATAATTATTTTCATGGTAATTGTTTTGAAGAGCTTTCGAATATGGCATCTAGACATGAATTTAAACGCTGTATTAGACTGGCAACAGTCTCATCATTTTAAACGTAAAATGGCTAGATGTAACTATAAGTCATATACTAATAGTTTATTGTACTTCTTTCTTGTGGAACACTCTTTTCTGACTGCTTGTTTCCTCGGTCAATTTTGAAGTTCAAAAATTTAAATGTAATGTCAATTGTTATCTTCCGTCATCATAATTCTTGTTCTTTTATTGTTCTCTTTTTAACCATGATTTTTTTTTTTTTATTCTCATACTAACACTCAGTAACCCTTTGTATCTTAATGGCTTTATTGCCTTGCAAGAGGCGAAATGATAAAAAAGTTTTAAGATATGAGGATTAGGCTATATATATATATATATATATATATATAAGAAGTGAAACTTGATAATATAAACTATCTTGTCATAGGACAAGCAAGAAAATTGAACTTTGAAAGTTAAAAAAGAAAAAAAAAAATTAAGAAAACGGCATAACTAAATCAAAATTGGCATCACATGTAGTTATATATCAGCTAAAGGACAACATGAAAACTACCAAATCATTTGGAAACTTAAGGTTAAAAAAAAAAAAATCCAAATAAATCTAAGAATAATTACTTCATTCATAAATAGGAAAAATAGAAATAAAAATCTAGTAAAAAGATTACAGAGTGGCAAGCTTTTTTTCCCCTAATATTAGATACATAGAAAATAATCTATTTTATTTAATTTGCCAGCAATATTTAGTATAAAGGCAGATCATTTTTATTTATTGTTCAGGAAGAAAACAAAAATTTGATATTAACCTCCTTTCCCTTTCAATACACAAACAGAAATGATGACTCTTACAATATGTAATATATGTGAATTTGAGGCTTTTATTAGCAAAAATAGCAATTTTTCAAAGGCCAAAACATAAAAAGCAAATCCATAAGTTTGCAATTCACTAAGATACATGATTAACACTTGTCTTAGAAAAGAATTTTGTTTGTTCTAAAAATTAATAAAATGGTAGCTAGATGTGGGGAGTACAGGGAAGGTGTCTGTACATATTGTCCCACCCCCAGCAGTCGATCAGTCGGTGTCATTCACAAACACTTGGCCAGAGAAAGCAGCACTAACCTCTGTATGCTCATCAAATCCATACATGCAGTACTCACTCCCATGATCAGCAAACATTGGGCAGAAAGCTGGCAACAAGAGAAGACCTTTAATATAAACCACCCTGATGTGATGGCTGACGAGACACGATGATGATGGCCAGTAAATTATTCAGATTGCAGATCAGAAACAGCATCAGTCAATATTAACAGCTACATCAAATAACTACAAATTTATTGCTACAGCATCTAATATTGTAAAAATGTCACATTCCCAAGAGACAGACTTATCAGCTATAAACAAAGTGCAGTATATATATATATATATATATATATATATACACACACACAATTGGTTCCCATAAAGTGTTTAGTCCTAATTTTATTATATGTAAAGCAGAAAAAGTAACAAATAAGAAAGAAAAATACGAGTTACATTTATTACAAGATAGAACCAAGACAAGTTTCAACAACGGGACAATAAATTATATCAAGAGAGATGATACATTCAGCACAAAGTTAATTCATATTCAAATAAGCAAAATTCAACAGAATAACATATTGCCTCAAGAGTAGCTACTATTTCCCCCTCCCCTAATTTCAATCATTTATTTTGATAACAATTAAAAAATATTAATATATAGTTAAATTAAGGGTAAAGTTATATAAATGTTAACAGGTTTAAACTGGATTAAAAATTTGTATTTAAATATATTATCTACAATTTAAATACTATAATAATAATAAAAAGAAAAAATGAAGGAGACTTGTCATAATAAAAGAAATTTTTTAAAGTGCTGTGTAATTTTTTTCTGTCAAAAAGTATGAAAAAGGAACCAGCCATTTTCAAACTTATTCTATCATTTCTGCTTGATAAAAGTTTAAGAAAATTTTTAACTTAGATTTCAAGACCTTAAAATCTCCAAGTGAAGAAAATTGAAAATTATCAAGTATAATGATATCCATATTAATTCCAAATATCTTGAATAAACATAATAGGTATTTTCAGAAAGAATGTGAAATAAGTCGGAAGTAAAAATAAATATTCCAAGAAAGTATCAAAATTACAAAACAAATCAGACTTCCAGAAAAAAAAAAAAATAAAAAAAAAAAAGCACTAAAGTAGCTACCTATATTTATAGTAAACTCCAAAATAATTCATCTTTTATATATATTTTAAGCAAAGAAAAAAATGGAAAACAAGTCATATGAATATGATTACTTCATCTAAACTATGTTTGGGGAGGATGACAAAAATTAACATAATTGCCATTACTGATTCTTAAATTCAATAAGAAATGCAAAGTGACAACATCAATAATATAGAAATCAAAGACTCAAAATATGTGGGTGCTCTGTAAAAACAACAGTGAAAAAAATGCCTAATTCAGATACACTAAAAACTCCTGACATACAAAAAAAAAAACACCCCACACATGAAGATCTTCGTAAAAGTCATACTTGCAAACAAATCGATAATCAATAGATATTCCTATGCAGGAAACTTTAGGGATGTCACTTTTGATAGAGCATGATGATAGAACCATGTCTCTTGATTATGCCCTGTTGAATCAAGTCATGGTTCAATCATTTTTAACTGAAATTACTCTTAAAAAAAAAAAAAAAAAACAGTGGAAACCCCTTTGCTATAGTTTTCAATTGAAAAAAAAAAAAAAAAAAAAAAAAAAAAAAAAACAGCAAAAAAATTTCAATTTATAAAACAAAAAGCTTTTTTATGTATGTTTTCTAGAAGACAAGATGCATTTTTAAAATAGCTGTTGAACTGGTTAGTTGAGAAGAGGGAAAAAAAAAAAAAACGAAAACAAACACCTTCTTTGATATATTGCTTATCTTCAGTGAGACAGAGCATAATAAATGTAGCCATACCTCAATATAAAACTGTATCTCTGGCAGCTGCTATTACACTCCAAACGCGTATTCATACCAATAGATGTAAATGAACAAACAACAGCTGTTAGCGAGCAATATAGTTTGCAAAAAGTTTTGAGCCATTTGTGGTTGAGAATCAGAAAATGCTGTAAGAGAAGTAAATATCAGCAGATTCATGAATATCAGGTGGTTGTAGTGATAGTCACAGAGTAAGGCAAGGCTAAGGAAAGAGGACAGCTGAAAGTTGGAATTATCCACCTCCAGCATCTGGCAATCTTCATCATCCTCAGACAGGGAAATAGACCAGGGAATGAAGAGGAATTCAAAAGTAAAATATATATATATATATACATATTTTTATATTTAAATTAAAAAAATAATTTTAATTTAATGGAAATTTTTATGAAGTATATTTTAATATTTACACTGTCTAAACAGCAAGAAGGAGGGGGGATACAAAAGGAAACCAGATGTGGGCCTAATTTGACAAGAGGCATTTACAGAATTAGTAAGTAATGATGATACTGTAAAAACCTAAATGCATTGAAATTTCAATGATTGTGTTGATATTGTCTGTATATTGTTGAGATTAAGCATTAAAGAAAAAATTTCTAAAAACACTAAGAATACAGTATTTAATGATTCCAAAATCTACTGTAAATAACTTAGTCATTAAAGTTTAACAGATTAATGCTGACTAGAAGTTTGATAAGTACCTATTCTTAACAGTTAATAAAAACAACAACTCTGTTCTAACTTGAATGTATGCAGTAAATAGCACATTACATATATAAATAAAATTACATTTTTTTAATTTAATAATCTTCAAATTTCAAGGTCTTTTTGTAACAAATGGTTTAATTTCTGATAAGAAGTTATTTAAAACTTAAATGACCAGTTTCTCTCGATTAAATCTAAGTAAACAGTAGAAACGTTTTCTTTGTGACATGTTAGTGAATATGCTAGGTGCAATGGATTAAAAATAAAATTATGTCTTATGAATAGATTAGCATAGTTAAAAAGTAATGAGCAGTTAAATTCTAAGAATTATAAAAAGAAAAAATACTGTCTGGTATACGTGAATATGTTTAGTGGAAATATGATCAACTTATTCTCAGTAAAACATTAAAACTCCAAGAAACAATTTTAAAAATAAAACTAAAACCTTAAAAGCAGAAAGTATTTTTTAAAAAGGGAAAGAGCATAATTGAGCCACAATGAAAGTGTGAACAATAATAGAGGTGAATTAATAATTTTCTCAGAAATTGTTTCACAGAAACTTCCCTTTACTTGCTAACTCCTTCAATATAAAGCAAATAAGACAGATTTTTTGAATCACTTTTGGAGAAATCTGATCAGACAAAATTAACAACTTCCAAAAGTACCAATAGTCAGTTAATTTAGAAATATGCCGAACATTTCCAAGAAAACACTGAAGTAACACATTGGATGTGAAGGAACAGATTAAGCTCAGAGCAACTTCTTGACCAGTGTTCTCAAGTCCCAATTGGTTCAATACAAATCCAATATTAGTATCAAGAATGAGGTTATGAATACAAGGAATTTGTAATGTGGCCTCAATTTTACTTCTAAGGAAAAGGGAAAAGACATTTTATAACAAATTATGATGAAGATTATCAAATATTTTGAGCAAATTTCAATATTTGTGTAAAATACACTACGCTGCATATATAAAGATACTAGAATTGTTTAGTTTACTGGCTCAATCAAACATTGATATTGAAATATCTATAATAATTTTCCTTGTTAAATACAAGGATCTGCTCTAGCCTTTAAGGACTCCAGTGAATCAGTAATTATACTTATGCTGAAAATCTAAATGTTAATGCTTTATCCCAGGTAGACAGACAAGTTGGATATCAGATAATTCTTTGTTAAAGGAAAGCGTAGCAGTTTTAAGAAATCCTTTGTAGGGGTGGGCGTTGTTTCGTTTTTTTTTTTTGACAGTAGATTTATATCCTGCTCATCTGTTGAGGGCTTACTGCAAAGAGATGGCTTTGTTTTTAGTTTTTTGTTTCAGCACAAGGAGATACACTTTATTTTGTGATCTGTTTTCATAGCATTCCACTTACCTTTATTGCCTGAAAGAAAACATTGAAATCCCCAAGATCAAAGCATCAACATGCAATTCATATACTTTTAAATCATCTTATACTACCAAAAGCGAACAGAAATGAAGGTTATTTATGGTGTTGCTGGATATATGTACTCAAGCACACACGTCCTCACATACATATGTATGTATACAATATATATAACATATACACATACACACGCACATATGTAGTGGTAGGCATATATAGATAGATGTACATATCTATATGCATAATAAATGAAATTAAAAAAAAAAAAAAAAAAAAAAAAAAAAAAGTCAGTCTCAATTACAATGTCCAATGCATTCCCAGTCATGCATCACTACATAACAAGGAAATTCATTAAAATTTCTTCCAAGTGAATCAATGTTTATTTTTCTTTATTATAGATTAACAAAATCTGCACAAAACAGAATTCAGCAGGGAAGATAGTGTAAATGAAGCCGCTTTACATATCAATTGTCTAAGACCAAAGAAATACCTGTTTACAGAGGTGAGCATCACTTGTGTCGAGGAAGGGGTGAGGCACCGTGGTCTCATGTAACAGACTGGTAGTCATAGCAACGATCTCAACATTGGCGACTGAGCCATTCAAACATGGTGCTGACAAAGACTGATAGAACTGCATACATAGAAATCTGTCTGTATCAGAAAAGAAACTGGTCAAACTATATAGGCATGTGCTTAGAATAAATCCATGGGAATGAGGATGGGAGGAGAGCTGTGCAGGACGATGAAAAAAAAAAAAAAAAAAAAGGGCGGGGGGGGGGGGGTGATTACAAAGGTTGGGGAGTATACCTCCAACAATTTAACTAATTGAAGAAATTATAAGCTACAAATTCTGAGATGTTTGAGAAAAGCAAAATAAAACTTCATAGCAAAAGTGTTTTTGTTTTTTTTTTAAAAATAAATCAATGTATTACACATTTTTAAAATACAAACTAGAATCTTTCCTTGTACCCAGAATAAAGCACTATATTTTAAAATAATTATTTTTTACTCATCCCAGACAGATAAAAAGAACAATATCTGAAGAATATATGGGAAATAAAAATAAAAAAATATTTTGAAAGTAGTTATAAAGAAAATTTCTGGATCAAAATTTAAAAAAAAAAAAAAAAAAAAAAAAAAAAAAAAAAAAATTATATATTTCAAAATAAGTCAAGCATTATTCCCTGTAGAAAACGGTTAAACCACTAATTCCATTCAGTAGAATTTTAAAGACAGAAAGTTACACTAAAATTCCTTTGCACAGCCCAAGATTAAGGAAAAAAAAGAAAAAAAAAAAAAAGAAAAAGTTAAAAAAAGGAGTAGGGGTTGGAGAATAAAAATTAACAGGACTATTGCAAAAGTAGTTATGTTACTGCATACAATGGTCACAGCTTAGTTCTTATTAATAAGTGTTACCTTTGAGAAGGAGGAAGTGTTATGACTTGTGTAGACCAGTCTGCCAAGCCAGGGAAAGCTGTGATAATTGAAAAGGTTTATTAAATTTAAAAAATAAAACTTGCAAAACAGTCACGCCAGTAGATTTCTCAAACTGCACATATGCAATAATAATGTGTTATCACAGGATTTCACGTTATACATACATTTTTTTACTTTATGGTTGACCATTAAATTTTTAAAGAATAACACTATTATTTCCAGGAAATTGCTTAAGTGAAATTTATTTTAAGGGATAATTATAAAAGGAAGTAGCTAATAATTTAATCAAAGTGAAATTGTCATGTCATAAGCAATTGTAGTTATTTTTCTTCTGCAACAACTACAAGAATCATTGTTAGTGATGTTCTAAAAGCCCAAAAGAGGAATCCTGACAACAAATGTATTTCGAGTAATTTTCTAGTGTGAAAGGCATCAATATAGTCTTTCTATAGTTCGTTAAAATATAACAATAATACTGATTGAGATTTTTCCATTAGTGTGGAAAAAAAAAAAACAAAAAATATCACACACATACATTTAAAAAAAAAAAAAAAAAAAAAAAAATTGAAAATCAAAAAAAATATAAAATAAAAAATCATTGACAACATACAAGCAGCAACATTTTTAAAACTTTCATATTGTCTTCATTCCCTATCAGGTATGCAGTTCAATATTTGTATACTGAAATTGAGAAAGAAAAATTTTTTCAACACACACAAAAAAAAAAAAAAAAAAAAAAAAAAGAAAACTAGCATAATTTGTTTTTTTTCTTCTTCAAATCATGATACCGAGTCATCAACAGTGCAACAAGGACTCATATCAGGTTAGCAATACAATAGGAAAATAGAGATGTCTAAAGCAAAATTGCTCAGGTTTGTTGCACATTAACAAACCAAAACATTCACTCGACTGGTGTCATCGAACGAATAACTCAATTCACATTCATGTGGTGTGTGCATGTGTGTCTCTTGCTCAACCTTGATGGACGAACAAATGGACTGACGGACGGACGGATGCATGCCAGTAGAGGTCACCACTTACCTCTGATAAAAGTGGAGCTGAAAGCAAGAGCAGGGGCACAGTCAGACAGTCACTTACCTGTAAAAGACGGGTCAGAAGCAGGCTAGATCAAGCATTCATTTAGTGTCACCTTCAGAACGAGTGCCAGTTTCTTCATTGCTGTCAACATCACCACGGCTGTCAGATGGGATCTCCCCATCCTCATACTTGTCAAATTGCATCTCTTCCATTTGTTCAATGTCACAATCATTGTACATCCCTCGCTTGTCTAAAAGCAAAAAAGATGAAACAAATAAGAGAATATTCAAGGCAGATGGACTTATAGTTCTTAATCACAACCACCTGATAAATATTCAAAGTATTTGTAAATGGTTAATGTATGACATGTCACAACCGATCCTGTGCACTGCTGTAGAGTTGGCCCAGTACAAATATATAAATTCACAATATCCAATCTTAAGATTTTGAAAATTTATAACTAATAGAATGTAAATCATGCTGAAACATTTTAGAACTTCTTTTAACTGAAAGAAGTTTAATCTAACCAAGAAAAGTCTATGATAAACAGATTAAAGATTTCTAATAAATATGACTAATGAAGAAAAAAAATTTGAGTATAATTTCTAAAATGCATTTAAAATGATATTTTATATTATGGCCCAATTCACTAATATATTAAATAAATTTTAGGGTAAATATATTAATTGATAAGAAACTGCTCAAGCTAATCAAGAGCTTTAATCTAAGTTGTGGTCATTTGGAAAGTAGGCCAACTCAACAACCCTTCTGCAAACATTATATATAATGTATATTTAGGCATCGAGAATTTATTTCAAATATGCACGCACACATTATATATATATAAAAAAGGTGTTTTACATTTTTCCACCTTGCCGATAGGTTGTCACACATGTGGACCTAATTTATAGAAAGTGTCAAAAGTTCATGTTAGAACACTTTCAACCATTTCTATATCCTACATATTACAATAGAGAAAATTTTAGTTTCATTCTGACTGTTTTATATATATATATATATATATATATATATATATATGTGTGTGTATGCTAAAATTTTAGTTCAAAAGTTTTACCTATGAGGTTTGTTTGGTGAATATCCTTTAGCCAGAAAAGGCTTTTACATGCCTATTGCTAAGATTGTTGCAGTTTTGTACCTTTAAAAAAAAAAAAAAAAAAGTGTGCATATATATATATATATTTATTTTGGTGCATGGCCAAGTAGTTTGCTTTCTGACCATGACACCTGGGTTCAAATCTCGCCATGGTTAATTTGTCAGGAAGGTGATATATTATCAGACTGGATGATGGTCGATCCCAGTATGCAGCACCTTTGGAAAGTGCTTGAAGGCCACACCATGGGTTGACCAAAGCCTCGTGAGTGAAATTGGGTAGACGGAACTCGTGGGCCGTCGATAGCTGTGCTAGCACAAAGCCACCATGGCCTAGGGCTCGAGCGTGCTGGCCTTGTTCAAATTGTTGATCATGCTAGATAACACACTTTTCCAGAAATCGTAACTAAGCTCAGTATAATTGCAGTATAAACCACAGGTGGGCTCTGTGAGTGTTGAGCAAACACAAATGTGTCTGAGTGAGCATCTGCAATAGGGATTGGCTAGCTGTCCTAGTAGATGGGTATCCTCAAATACAAGTGGCCAGCTCATATATATATATATATATATATATATATATATATGTGTGTGTGTGTGTGTTCTACTGGAGGCCTATTAAGAAATACAGACAACTCATTGTGTGTATGCATACACACAAAACACTTTTTCTGATACAGTCATCTATATTTCAATTATCAGATTTCTGTTTATGAGTTTTACAATAACAAAGCAAAAATATCACATCAGAGCAAAATTTGTTAATAAAATATTGCTAAAATGCTCTAACTTGAATAAAGCAATTTCCAGTCCAATTTATGTATCAATAATAATGAAAAAAGGGGCATTCTTCATTTATGCTTACTGCAATATTGAGTTTAACATGCTTATTACAAAAGCTTAAGAAAAAAGTCATGAACACTTAAAAAAAAAAAAAAAAAATTTTTCTCTATCACGAACATTTCCAAACTATTCCAAAAACAATTCTTCTAAATTATAGGATTGTACAAAGGTTTGCTGTAAAGTTCCCAGAATGATCAAACACCAAGTTTTGTTTCTGAAAAGCTTCCAGGTTGAATTTCAGTATCCCTTGTAAGTTTACATTAATCTTCAGCTGATTGAAGGTTATTAATAGTACAAGTAAAACTAATTTTAAATGTACATCATATCTGGCTTATTACAGAGTAATTCCCATTATTTGCAAATAATCATAATATAGCTTTGGAAACCTTTAGGCAAGATAACAAAAAGCACACAGTAACAATATTTTTTTTTAAAACTCACTTGGTCAAATCTGTTAGTGACAATCTCAAAGCTGCGTTTTAAATTCTAATTAATTAAATTTTTTTTAAATAACTCACCATTCTCTAAGTGCAGGAACTTTCTTTCACTATTGCTGCTGGACAGATGCTTAGAATCAATGCTAGTCGAACGACGCTTTCTGTCCTGATTTTGGCAATGATGTCTTGACTCCTTGCTGCCAGAACGGCGTTTGGAATCTCTGCTTCTGGACCGATGCTTATTGAACTCCTGTCCGGGAGAACTAGTCTTTGAATCTGGGCTTCTAGAGTGATATTTTGATTCTTTGCTGTCAGACCTGTTTTTCAGCTCCCGACTACGTGATCTGCGACTACGATGATTAAGCTGACGAGATGAATGACTTCTAGAGCTTGAGTGACTCCTTGAACGGTGTCGTCGACTGCTTTTGTGTTTCTCTTTACTACCAGATCTGTGTCGGTGACGACTACTTCGACTTCTAGAACGTCGTTTCCTAAAAAAAAAAAAAAAAAGTATGGATATAAATTTAAAAAAAAACAAAAAACAAGCCAATTCAACATTGGATATTAAAATCTTGTCAAAATGTTTGAATTGTTAAAATAAAGCATCCACTTCAAATATATTTAAGCTTTATGAATCACAGAAAAATTTTGAATTAATCATCTAAAAGGATTTATGAACAATAAAAATGCTCTCAATTTATGCTTTGAATAAAAAGACAACTGAAATTGAAAACTTCTAGCTACATAAAATGCAGAGTTGAACCCAAGCTGTGTCTAAGCTTATTGATTCAAATCCCAACAACTTGCTGATTTAATGACGGTTCATAATTGCCAAGTTTTTCAATGCTGACTTCAGACCTCCTTTTACTATTAATAATCTCAAACTTTTCCACATTAAATACCAACAGGAACATATATATATTACAGGACCATAAAAATATCAACCATCATTTCTCTTAATTCCTGTATGGCTTGGGATCCAACATCAATATTCTTTTTTCAACTTGCATATGGACCTCATTTTGGACATAAGTTTATCAAGGTATTTTTCAAAATAGGAAAATGTCTAAAGACATTTGACAACTGAATTTTCTTCTCTGCTGCTGTTAAAAAAAGGTGCAATCACAAGTGGGGTTAGCTGAACAGAATCAAGAGTCATAGTACTAACAAGGCTACCTGGCATTGCCCATCAAAATATTAGAATTATGTAAAAATTACAATTTAATTTTTCATCAATATTTAAATATTGAAAGAAAACTTAAGTGGCTAAACAAATTAGGCCTTCATTAAATAAAACCATTGCATACATACTTTTAAACTTTTGCCACACACAAAAAAAAAAAAAAAAAAAAAAAAAAAAAATTATATATATATATATATATATATATAAAGCAGCATCATTTAAATTTTAATTCGTTTTGAACCCATGCTCAAAGTTAAGCTAAGATATACCCAGTTCATTTTTTATTTTTATAAAATGTATATAAATTTTCAATTAAATCCATAAATCCCGAGAATTAGAAAACATTGCCAGTCATGAATTTAAATGAAATGAATGACCATTAAAAGAAAAAAAAGATATTTTTTTAATTTTTTTTTTCTTCTTACAAACAAATTTAAGTGCAAAATTTAAGAAACTAAAATATATACAATTTTTTTTTTTTTTATATACAAAATACATAAAAACAACAAAAGATGAAAGTGATTTGACAGTTTAGACAAAATACAATTACTTTATAAAGTTTCAAATTGCTTCATAAAAATATACGAGAGATTTAAACTGTAATATCCATCGATAAAACAAGCCAGATTTAAGATTGGTGTTCAGCTGGAGATGTTCAGTCACTTGGCCAACAATTCAAATTTCAATGCACCAGCCACAAAATGAATACAGTATTCCTTTTTGATTCACATGTGCTTCAAGATGTATGGGCCCAGAAATATGAAACCAACTGATTAAAGATGAGACATTGGTTTTGACAAAGTGCAATTTTGCTCTTTTAAAATAGGTGAATTTCTGATATTTCACCTAATGTTTTCAACTTAGAAATGTTTTTGTTAAAAAAAAAAAAAAAAAAACCTTCCAACCTGATCTTTTAACCCACCAAATTGACAAGCTTTTTTTTTTTTTCTTTTAATTTAATGGGATAATTTTAATATATACAGAGAGAAAACTGAGCACAACAAGTTTAAAAACACCACTATGAAATTGTCAGCTTTGAAAATGTGGAAAAACAAGTGCCCAACATCACTCACACAAGAACTGTATTGTTCTATAGAGGAAAAGATAATTTTAAATGTTTCAAACAAGTGCTGGGGATCATGCTGAGCATTTTCAAATCTGATCCATAAATGAAGCAACCATATTCCAGTTTTGAACAAATTCATTATGTACAGGGTTTCAATAAGGTTTCTCTATCAGCTCTCCCCACACTATATACTGTAAGGCTTTGCTACATTTAGATTTAGGTAAAGGATAAAAATCTTTTTATCAAATGATTCCAAGAAATCTGTACTGATTAATATTTCTGTTCTTGTAAATTTGAGAAGAGATTATTATACATTCTTCTCAGTTGGCAAAAATTAACACATTTGTGAATATTTAAATCCATTATTTACATGTGAACTATACCACCATTTTTGTTGTTATCACATATTGGTCATTATCCTCATTCAGGCTGGAGGGCACAATCTACTGCTATAGATTAAATAAAGAGTTCAGTTTGAAATTCCTTTAAGCTTACTCAGATCAACAATTACCTAACGAAGCTTGGAGGTCACAACAGCCAAAATGTTATGATAAGAACCAAGATGGGGACAATAGTACACATGTAAATAATGATAATTCCTCATCCCAGAAATTAAACCCATTCATTCATTTTATTTAAGTATTGCTCTATTGTGTGAACATGTTTTGACTCATAGCCTAAGGAAAAAAAAAAAAAAAAAAATTAACAATAGTGTTATCTTAATTGTAAACAGGGTAACTGAAAGAATGCTTCCTTACGTGAACACTACCTCTTGTTTCTGAAGGTCAGTCAGGATAGAACCTACAAAGGCTTTGAAGTTTCTTTCCAAAAGAAAATTATGAAGCCAAGCAGTCTGCCCCCCAGTCTCCCATAATGTAAGTGTAAAAAAAAAAAAAAAAAAAAAAAAAGTTAGGAATTTTTTTTGTTACTGTTTCTAAAACAGACCAGATGATCAACTGCACTTTTGTTCTGGAAGCCATATTAGGAGGAATGGGTGATGAGACACTTGATCCCCAGAAACCAGTTCAGTCTGGTGTTTATCATATATTTCATGGTTTTGCAGAGGAAACCTGTCAATGAAATGGATCTATAATTCTTTTTTGAACCTGTATTTTCTTTTTCAGGTTTTGGAATAGAGATTATGGTCATCTGTCACCAGATATTTGCCACTTAACCATATACTTTTGAAGATATTTCAAAAAGGTAATTTAAGGATTTCTATGGTTGCCATTTCATAAATTCATAGTGAACTTTGTTTGGGCCAATGGTTATCATAGGAAATAATTCAATAGTCATTAAGCTCTGACAAGATGAATTAATTATAGTGTTTGATTTGAAGAATGTACTTTTCAGCATTGCAGTTGATGTTTAGGAATAGTAAAGTGACATTTTTATAGAAGATTTTTTAAAATGTTTTGGCTAGTAAGCCTGCAATATCCTTTTCATAAATCACTTTGCTTTTGTTTTCTGTTAGATATTTTAGGGAGGTACCGGACTGTTTTAAAATTGTTTAATTACATATCCCCCCCTCCACATTTCGACTTGGCTTATTTACTTTATACGATCAAGTTTGTCGGTCTGTTGCATTTGTATATCAGCGAACTTTTGGCTAGATATTCCTTTGCTGAAGAGATGTTTTGGTGAGATGATCTGCTAGGGTTTTAATATTGTCATTTTGGAATTTTTTTTTTTTTTTTTTTTTTTTTTACATAAGACTAAATTCTTTCTAACTTGCTCTGTTTAATTTCTAAGGAGGAAAATCTTCAATCTTTGGGTTCTGACTTTTCTAGTATGAGGGGGAAAGTAATCAAACATTTCAAGTGAGAGTATTTTGTTAAAAATAAATAGAAGTGAAAAGTTGGTGAAAAAAACACTGAAAATGCCAGCAACAAAATATACTAGTTTTCATTTAAACAGAAAAATTTAAATGCATGAAATATGTTCAAATGAACACGACTCACATGGCTACATTAAAAAAAAAAAAAAAAAAAAAAAAGTGATAACTTTGAAGTTTTAACAATGCATGAACGTTGCAAATGGTGACTATCACCATTGAAATGGTTAAGCTAACAGATCAAGAAAAAATGCTAGTTTAAACATGGATAAATAAGGTAGATAAGATAAAAAATAATGGTCCAAAAATATTAATTAGGACCATGAAATGAAAATTAGAGAGAGAATTGCTTGAAATTGCTGAGTTTACAACACTAGAAATGCACTTTTGGGTAACCACAATGGCCAAACATCTACGGGGATAGATTGTGTCAAGCCAAAGTCAGCTGGGAAAGTGAAAAAGAATTATCCTATTGTGCTAAAATAGCATTCAACATTTATGAAAATACATGTTGGCATGACAAAAAAAAAAAAAAAAAAAATACTGACTCATTAATATTGCCTTAAAATAAATTGTATTTGATTTCAATTTCTTTATTTCTATTACTGAGAACTCAATCTCAAATGGGTCTTGACAGGTAGCCAAGTTTAGGAAAAGAGGTAAAAATTCAAACTTGTAACAAGAGAAATATTTCATCTCAAGACCTGTGAGATTAAAAGGGATACTCAATATTAACCAGCACTTAGAGGCAGCAGTGAGCAGAGAAAAAGAAGGAACTTTGACCATACACATCTGTGATAGAGAGAACCAAGAAGTCCTTTATTGAGAAAGTCACTGGAAATTCAATGGAACTGTGAGCTGATTTGATTCCTGACCAGCCATTCACTATATCTAAATGCTACAGCTATTTGGTGATACAATATTCCTTAGGAATTCCATGCTTCTAACGAAATTAATAAACAGAGTGGTTGAAGTCGGCAAATTTAGCCATATATGTAAGTGTCCTCAAAGGAACTGAATCTATTTGTTGAGAAAATGAGGCACTATATTGAATCTAACAAATTTGGCTATCATGATTACTAGCAGCTCTGTAATATGATGTTAAATAAGAGCAAGTTTTCTATTCCTCCTCTCTTTAAATCAATTTGGTGTTAACTTCTTATGCTGCTAAAGCTAAATGTTTCACCTGTAAATTCTCTTTAAATTACTCATCAGGAGTATCCTTGCCTAATTTTCCCCACTTAAAATAGAGTTTGAGTGATATTTCTGCTATAACCTCTAAGCTGAATCCCGACAACACATGTGGACCTAATGATATTCCTGTATTAGTCCTCAAGTGTGCTCCTGAACTAGCTTGTCACCTCTTGTTTCCCTGCCTGTTGGAAATCATCATCTGTTCCAGTTTCTAAGAACTTATGTGGATGGTCTAACCCTTCCAGCTATTGATCTATTAGCCTTCTACCTCTTTTTGAGAAACTGCTAGAGGCACTAGTCAATGCTGAATTGGTTAAACATCTCACACCACAGGGCCATTTTTCAGACAAGCAATACAGCTCTCATTTCTCCAGGTCAACTGCTGATCTACTGACAAGAATTGTGGAAAGAGTATTAGGTGGAGCTTGGGCTGTAGCTTTGCACATCTAAAAGCTTTTAACAGGGTTTGGCATACAGGTCTTCACAAATTTAAAATTTATGAAGTCTCCGGACAAATTTTTGAACTGATCCAGTCTTTGTCAAATCATGACATGAAAGTTATCCTGAATATCCACTCTTCCAGATCCTTTCATACTAATGCAGGCTATCTTTGGTCCTACTTTGTTTTTAATTTTCATTTACCCATTTGGAGTTTCAGTGCCAAGAAGACAGAGCCCTTTTCACAAGCCCTAAGGAGGGTATGCACTTTTTTTTTTTTAATTACAAAAAATAAATTAAATTACTTTACATATATAAAGTTATATATATTCTTGTAAGAAATTGAATGAACTTATACAATCTTTATGAATCAAACTGAAATCTCAACATTTATTCAAATGAGCTATCCTGATTTGCATAATTTAGGCATGCACTTTTTTTCTATTTAGAACAAACATCTTACTTGTAGAATTTGGGTGAATTTTCTGATGGATGAATAAAGCCTAATGCCTGAGTTTTAGAAAGCAAGGCCCACAGAGACCCCTTCAAACACTTCTCGCACATGGTTCTCATCCTTTTCCTGCAACTGGTTATTTTCTGGTTGCCACAGATGCAGCAGTCCTTTTCACCATGGTTGCACACAGGGTACACACCTATTCCAACTTCTGTACCATTTTTATTATCCAAGTGTTCTTTACTAAGTGCTTCAATTACTGAAGTGTTGAATTTATATCAATTCATGATTTTTTTTTTTCCCCTGTCAATGTTCCTTGTAAAGAATGCAGGTGTTGAGCAGTATACAGGATACAAGATTGAATGTACTTGATAGTTCTTTCATCCAGATAAAAATACATCATCATGTCTGATTGATCGATCACACACATATTTATAGTCCAAAACGGTCACTTTTTTTTTTTTTTGCAATCTGGTGCATCTCCACTTTGTGGTGTGCCCTTCTGCCAAATCAGCAAGTCTCTTATATATGTTTTGTTCTTTGCCGATATTAGCAGTACAGTTTTTCTATGATGACCAAGATAAGATGAAATTTAGACAAATAGTGTTCTTTGAAGGTCACACTTTAATTATGACAAATTTCAATACATAAATAATTGAAAACATTCTAGAAAATCAAGTAACATGATGTTGGGAAGCAAGGAACTAACTGTATTCATGGAAATTTAAATACTGTACAAAATGAAAACTGATGTGGAGTAACATCCAATAAAATTGTGGTAAAAAGTGAAATTACAAATCATATAGTGTAACTTGCATGGATTTTACCAGTTAAAATTGGTCGCTGGCTGGAATGAGAAAAGCTGCAGTTATAATTTGCAATGTAGGATAAATTACAAGTGACTAAAAGGAGAAATGTAATTGCAGAAACCTGTTTAAAATTGTAGACAAACTTCAATAGATTTAAGTAGTATCACTAAATCTCAATTCTGTGCAAAAGTAGGATCACACAAACTTCCAATTCAAATTTCTACATTTATTAACCAATCAGTGACACTATCTCAAATGCTATTCAAGCTGGAATTACACGCATACATAAAATATTGGAAATATGTCAATTTTCACATACATCTTTTCATTTATATGAACACAATTCACTTCTTCGTGTTGTAAAAATAAAGACATTTTTCGTTGAACTTTGAAATTTGTTTCTTTCAACTTGAAAGATTTTTTTATACCCAATGAAAATATCCAAATTTGTAGAGCTGTGTTTGAAGATTATTTCTTTTTTACTTTTCATGCAGTTTTCCCCTCAACATAATAGGCATTACTGATGTGGATTTTAGAAGTAAATCTATTTACTGCTGGTGGAAATAGAAATTAATCTAACTTGATGTGAAAAGCCTGGATACCTAAACTAGGTAATTAGGATTTTACTAGCATAGCAGAAATACATTGGGGTTTGATTTTTCTAATGTGCTTTTTTCTTTTTTAAAGTGATGTTCACCTTGTACAAAAGCCCAAGAGCCCCTCTAACCCTCTACCTCAAGGTAGAGGGTTAGAGTTAGTGGAACAGTTTATGCAGATATAGGGGGAAAAATAAGAGTTGACTAGACTTTAACAGGTTAAGATTGTAGTGATAAGGGAAGCATCCTCTTGGGTGTCAGTTCCACACAGTAGCAATTCATGGGAAGCTGCTGCTGCTGCTCGAGTGCAACTTATATCTCACCAATGGAATACAAAGGTAATGAGGGTGGATTGCTACAGTGTATGGCATGACAGGTCTTGGCTGTGATGGTTAGAATTGGTGCAATTAACAAAGGTCTGAACATTTTCCATGGAAATAGCAAGAGGGCTGGACAGAGACATATGAACCCTGGAGGACATCTACATTGCTAACTTGGGTCTTTAGGACTGATAGTTAATAACTACCTTCAGGATGGACTTTATAATTGAGGAGACGCTTCCAGTTATTCCATAGCTAGAGAGCTTACGCAATAATACTTTATGCCATATTTTGTCAAAGGCCTTTGAAATTTCTAATATGATTGTCCTTGAGATGTATTTGTTATATAGTGTTTCACCGATTTAATTACAATAAAATGAATTAGTTCCTGGAATTGTCTGGGCTTGAACTTTTGATGTAACAAGGTTTTAATTCATAGGATTGAGTGAAACAAGGAGCACTAACACAACGATATTCCCTATAAATATGAGGGGTTGGGGTCACATAAGCAGAGCAGACAGGACAGGTGGATGCAAGCAACATGGATGCAAGCAAAAAAGACAAAATGTAGCAGAGCAGTCAACATCAGCACCTATCTTCACCACCCCTTGAAAGGTGAGGCAGAGAATTTGGTCAATTCAACATTTTTTCCTTGGGCTAAGAATGCTCAAGTAGGAAGCCCTGTGGTGTGAGATGTTTAACCAATTCAGCATTGACCAGATTTGAGACAAAATTTGTTTTCAAGCCAGGGATTAAGCTTTCTTATTTAAATTGTTCAAATGCCTACCAATCACCAGTATTGGTATTATTGAAACAATATGCTGTGAATAAAATTGACACCTAACTCACAAACATGCTATAGGTAGACCACTCCCCAGCACTGCAGAATTGGGAAGGGTTAATGTAATAACTAATCATCAAACTATGTTTCAGTTTCCACAAGGAAGAACTAGCTGTCCCTCAGAAAGTCACATTTTATTGCTACTCTACCGTAAGCATTAAAAAAAAAAAAAAAAAAAAAAAAGAAAAAAAAAAAAAAAAAAAAAAAAAAGAAAAAGAAAAAAAAAAAAAAAAAAAAAAAAAAAGAAAAAAAAAAAAAGAAAAAAAAAGAAAAAAAAAAAAAAAAAAAAAAAAAAAAAAAAAAGAAAAAAAAAAAAAAAAAAAAAAAAAAAAAAAAAAAAAGAAAAAAAAAAAAAAAAAAAAAAAAAAGAAAAAAAAAAAAAAAAAAAAAAAAAAAAAAAAAAAAAAAAAAAAAAGAAAAAAAAAAAAAAAAAAAAAAAAAAAAAAAAAAAAAAAAAAAAAAAAAAAAAAAAAAAAAAAAAAAAAAAAAAAAAAAAAAAAAAAAAAAAAAAGAAAAAAAAAAAAAAGAAAAAAAAAAAGACACTTTCCTTGTAACTTGGCTCCATCATTACCTTGGCCATTTCAACCAGCTGCACTTAAAGACTCCCTCAGATGGAGAGGAGAGGAAAAAAAAAAAAAAATCAACTGGTGGAGTGAAGGCCTCATAATAGCAAAATAGGGATACCATAAACATTTATCAAAACATTAAACGTACAGACAATCATACAGTTTATTGGCATAGTTTAATACAAGAATATAACTAGGTGACTATACATCAAAGCTAAAAATTTATTTATCTGTAATTTATAAGGAATTGCTAAACAGTTAAAGTTTTGCAAAACGATACTTTTAACAAAGTTCTAAATTCATTTTGAGATCATTGCAAACATTGTTACAGAAGAAAAATACCGTAATTAGATTATTCATTCCCAAACTAGAGAGTAGACTTAAACTTGTTTTACCTCTCTCTGCTTCGACTTCGGCTTCTTCTCGTGTGACACCGACTTCGACATGAACTCCACTTTTCTCTGTCATGCTCTCTTTCTTTTTCCTTTTCCCGTTCCTTTTCCTTCTTTCGCTTTTCTTCACGTTCTTTCTCTTTCTCCCGTTCTCTTTCTCTCTCTCGCTCTTCTTTCTCTCGTACAAGCCTGGCTTCCCTTTCTTCTGCTGACTGTAACTTTCTCTGGGAGGGAGGGAAGGGAAAAAAAATAAAATAAAATAAAATAAAAAATAATAATAAAAACTGAACTTACCCACAAAAATAAAGCATAGATATCAATAAGCACCAAATAAATTAACTAGGCTCTACATAAAGTTAATAAATGAAAAAAAAAAAAATCCTAGGACCAAAACTAATTCACAACAGATATATCCAACAGGGCATAAGAGCAATGGTTATTCTTTTATATTTATGAATATAAAATTTCAACATCACTCAATCAAATTGTATTAGCTATGATGGATATAATACAGAATAATTTCATCCACTACTTCTTGCAAACTCCAAATATATTACTAACTGTTTAACTGAGTAAAGCTAAAAATGGAGGTTTAATACTCAATACAGTTAAATCACCCATCCCACTGTATTCAATGAGAAACTCAAATACTATCCTAGGGAAAAAATTCTTATGAAATTGGTTTAGTGCCATAAAATTTTAAGAATCATGTAGAGCCAAAAAATTTAAAAAAGGGATGAAGTAACCAATAAATAAAAATGCTTTGTTAATCATATGAAAGTTATACAAACTGATAAATTTTAAAATGTGAATAAGCAGCTAATTTCTTAACTATTAAATTCAAATAATGGCAAAAGGAGATTAATATAAATATTTTAAGAAAACTGTTGAGTAAAAATTTGTATAAATTTACTATATTTTACAAGTATTGTTGGATGCCTGCTTTAGAATAAGGCTAAAAAATGTCATATACTGTAATATCAGACAGGTACTAAGAGTAGGAGAAGAAAAAGAAAAAAAAAAAAAAAAGGTTTCTAGTGACAGTTACTTTTCACTTTGTTGCTCAAAACCAGTTTTTAAGGTTGTGACATTATTTAGTGCTGGCAACCAAAAAGGGTTAATACATATAATGATAGACATACCAATCACACCAGATTTTATTTTTTTAAAAAGTCTAATTTTCCCAAGAAAGGAAGAATTACGTAATCAATAATTTTGCAAAAAGGTAATTTGGAACTGATGGATGCTTGTTCAAGTACTGATAATGAAAACAGAAAAAAAGCAAGTCAGAGAAGAGATGATCTGCGAACCAGGAACTGGGAATAAAGATTCTTAAACCTACAAAAAGGCATCATGGTGGCCTGACATGTGATGGATGATGGGTGTTAAGGGTATTGGTCATAAAAATACAGAATGAGCAGATTGGTGAAGATTTTGAGAATAATCAACAGAGAGGTCGTGTGGTGAATGCCTCGATTTTTTAGCAGGAGGAAAAATTTTGCAGAAGCAAAATTTTAAAATAATTTCTTTTAATTAATGAACACAAGTTAAATCACACCAAAAACACTGAGAATGGTGGAAAAGCTACTAATGCCCATCAGGAAGTGTTAGTGTGAGATGCTAATGAGAGAAGGAAAGTTTAGACAGATCAATATCCTGCAACCACTCCTCACAGAAGAGGGGATCTCTCCAAAATTGGAGATGTAATTAATTTTCCGGAGCCAAACAACAATTTACTCCTGCTGGAAATTAGGGAATCACCGAAACCCTAAACTACATCTAACCCCATGCTGGTCTTGGTCAAAAGCCCAAAAATACAAAGGCTCCAAGCCAAGAAAGCAGGTTGCTGGAGTTCAGAGGGCTCAGAGTTTCCACATGATTGCCTGCAAAAGAGACTTCCGACATCAGCCTTGTGCCAACTTAACCAAGCCAGCAAAATGAACTTTGCTAAATCACCAAAGCGCCACTTTTGACTAGAAACAGTTTGGGCCAAGAATTTAATGCATGCAAGCTTCTACATTTTAAAACAGCTGTACAAAGAACTGATATAAAATTAGAATATATTTTTTTTAATCCAAGCATCATTTTAATTCATTGCGTCATCACCCCTTTTTGGAGCAAGCCAATACAAGGATTCCCGACGACAATTCAATCTAAATCAACATGAGATAAAGCTGTCACTTCAAGCAACCAGCATTGTGTGTCTCGGACAACCAGAGCTGGTTGACCTAGACTTAATATAGGGTGTTTCAATAACTTGAACCGATTTTTAAATGTGAATTAAGTTTAAGTGTCTAATAATTTTTTTTTTTTTTAGATTTAACAACTTAAGTCTTTGGCAATTTCAACCAGAAAAAGATTAACAATCAAACATTATGTTAAAATTATCAAAGCCTATTACAAAAATGGACGTTCAAACACCTCGCACACCTTGTGATTTTTTTAGTCAACATAATTGACCAATGGAAAAATTGTTCGTAAATTCAAACAAAACTGGGTTGGTGGCAGATGTGAAAACACCATTGTGTGCCCGTTTATACTGTCCAGCTGAAAACATTGTTGCAGTGCACAAGAATGTGGCCTAAAATCAAGACATCTATTTGTCATCATGCAGAGGAAGTGAACCTCTCCACAACATTACACCAAATTTTGACAAAAGATTCGCCACTATACACTTACAAAATTCAATTGACATAAAAACTGTAACCAGCTGACCTTTTGGAGCACCATTTGTCAATTAGGTGCATGAGCAAAGATTAGCCAATGAAGATTTTTTGCAATAAATCCTCTTTAGTGATGAAGCCCATTTTCATCTTGGTGGATTCGTTAATAAGCAGAATTATCACAATTTTCATCAGCCTAAAGGCAGATGAAAATTGTTGAAAAGCCACTGTACCCACAAAAAGGTGACTGTTTGGTATGCATTTTTTGCTAGCGAAATCATTGGGCTGTATATTTATAAATTTGAACATTCATTTTTGTTTTTTTTTTTTGGTTAGAAAGGGTGTCTTAGGCAAAATGTCCAGAGAGCTCAACGCTCCACAGACAGGCAAGTCTGAATTCAGAGTCTTCCTTTTCCTGATGTTTACTTTGTTCTGAGCTGCTATCCATTATGCCATAACTTTAAATCTAACCATAGACTGAATTTTTTTTTAATAATCGTTTTTTTAAATGTCAGGTATTCTGAAAAAAGAAGAAGAGAAAAAGAAGAAGAAGAGAAAAAGAAGAAGAAGAGAAAAAGAAGAAGAAGAGAAAAAGAAGAAGAAGAGAAAAAGAAGAAGAAGAGAAAAAGAAGAAGAAGAGAAAAAGAAGAAGAAGAGAAAAAGAAGAAGAAGAGAAAAAGAAGAAGAAGAAGAAGAGAAAAGAAGAAGAAAAGAAAAGAAGAAGAAGAGAAAAGAAGAAGAAGAAGAAGAAGAGAGAAGAAGAAGAAGAAGAGAAAAGAAGAAGAAAAGAAAAGAAAAAGAAGAAGAAGAAAAGAAGAAGAAGAGAAAAGAAGAAGAAGAAGAAAAAAAAGAAAAAGAAGAGAAAAGAAAAGAAGAAAAAGAAAAAGAAGAGAAAAGAAGAAGAAGAAAAAGAAGAAGAGAAAAGAAGAAGAAGAGAAAAGAAGAAGAAGAAAAGAAAAGAAGAAGAAGAAAAAAGAAGAAGAAGAGAAAAAAGAAGAAGAGAAAAAAAAGAAGAAGAGAAAAAAAGAAAGAGAAAAAAAAGAAGAAGAAAAGAGAAGAAGAAAAAAGAAGAAGAAGAAGAAAAAGAAGAAGAAGAGAAAAAAAGAAGAAGAAAAAAAAGAAGAAGAAGAGAAAAAGAAGAAGAAGAGAAAAGAAGAAAGAAGAGAAAGAAGAAGAAGAGAAAAGAAGAAGAAGAGAAAAAAGAAGAAGAAAAGAAAAAGAGAAGAAGAGAAAAGAAGAAGAAGAAAAGAAGAAGAAGAAAAGAAAAAAAGAAGAAGAAGAAAAAAGAAGAAGAGAAAAGAAGAAGAAGAGAAAAGAAGAAGAAGAGAAAAAGAAGAAGAGAAAAAGAAGAAGAAAAAAGAAGAAAAAAAAAAAGAAGAAGAAGAAAAGAAAAGAAGAAGAAGAAAAGAAGAAGAAGAAAAAAAGAAGAAAAGAAAAAGAAGAAGAGAAAAAGAAGAAGAAGAAAAAGAAGAAGAAGAAAAAAGAAGAAAAGAAAAAGAGAAAAAAGAAGAAGAGAAAAAAAGAAGAAGAGAAAAGAAGAAGAAGAGAAAAAAAAGAAGAAGAGAAAAGAAGAAGAAAAAAAAAGAAGAAGAAGAGAAAAAAGAAGAAGAGAAAAGAAGAAGAAGAAAGAAAAAAGAAGAAGAAGAAAAAAGAAGAAAAGAAAAAAAAAAAAAGAAGAAAAGAAGAAGAGAAAAAAAAGAAGAAAGAAAAAAAGAAGAAAAAAAAAGAAAGAAAAAGAAGAAAGAAAAAGAAGAAAAGAAAAAAGAAAAAAAAAAGAAGAAAAGAAAAAAAGAAGAAAAGAAAAAAGAAGAAAAGAAAAAAAAGAAAAAAAAAAAAAGAAGAAAAGAAAAGAAAAAAAGAAGAAAAAGAAAAAAGAAAAGAAAAAAAAGAAGAAAAGAAAAAAGAAGAAAAGAAAAAAAGAAGAAAAGAAAAAAAGAAGAAAAGAAAAAAAGAAGAAAAGAAAAAAAGAAGAAAAGAAAAAAAAGAAGAAAAGAAAAAAAAGAAGAAAAGAAAAAAGAAAAAAAAGAAGAAAAGAAAAAAAGAAGAAAAAGAAAAAAAGAAGAAAAGAAAAAAAGAAAAAAAAAAAAAAGAAGAAAAGAAAAAAAAAAGAAAAGAAAAAAAAAAGAAAAGAAAAAAAAAAAAGGACCAAGTTTACTAACTTGTTTTCTCTCTTCAACATAAGTTCTAATTCTTGCATAACCAGAATGCTGCTTTCCCATGATATGCTCATCAATACGTTGCTGGATATCTCCTACGACAAGCAATGCACCACATACATTGCACACCTCCATCGTCTTTTCACTTTCCGGAGTTTGATTAATCTGCCGGCTCTGAGAAAAATTAAAGTCATAAGAAAAAAGCAGTTTCCAATTTAACAGTTAAATGATAGGAGAGAGATAGATATGGCAAGTACCTTTAATTCTCAACACAGCTACAAGTTTTCCAGCTTAATTTTCTAAGAGAATTTTACAAAGTTTTAAAAATTTCTTCATACAAGCAGGAAAATATTTTCCTTTGTTCAGTATATTAAACAACTACATAGGTAACAGTTTTTCTGCAAAATACATACCATGAGAGATGATATAGCTTGGTCTTTAAACTAACTTGTGGTTACCTTTACAGTTAAAATAGAAAGTCTCCGGAGATGATTCTGAAATCTCATATATAATTTATTCAATAATTCCAAATTAAATATTAGTAACTAGTTTTAACATATTTTACAAATGGCATAGTTAATGAAAGACTTCTTCCTTTTGAAATTAAAAGGTTAATTTTAACAATCTGGAAAAAAAAAAAAAAATATACAAAGTGACAAAAGATAATTATCAGAAAATTTTGGTTGACACCATTTATATATCAAATATCATTATTTTAAGAGAAAAGCAATTTAATTATAAAATCACATATTTAAATTATATTATTAGAAGATAAGAGTTTGGTACTGCCATGCGTTTTTTTTTTTTTTTTTTTTTAAACTGCTGCATATATTTTAATGCTGTATTATTTTTTCATAAATAATTCTTCCAGTAGTAGTAAAAATTCCATAGACATGATAATTAGCAGATTTGTGGTAGATTTTTAAAATTAGCATCTCGCCTTCTATACATATAGTTGTGTTATGTCCTGCTATGGAAACAGCTAAAATAGTCTTAACTGCAATCAATAATAGGGCTACTTCACCCTGAAAAGAAATTCCATGAAAAGGAAGTAATACTAATGAATAACGCAGTGTTAAACAATCCATCATTATTCTCATTATTATTTTTTCTTTTTTAAAATAGAAGTTTTCAAGACAATTCTTTGGTTCAGTATATTGAATATATATATATATATATATATATATATATTTTGGTATTAAAATCACTTTCAAAATGGCAGAAAGATTACAATAAAATTAAGATTATCAGTTTTAAGCATTTTCATATCTTTAATAATAAAAAAAAGTACTTACATTTTCTAATGCTTTACGCTCTTCTCTCAACTGATCACACAACTTCATCACACCTTGAGCCTCTTCAACTTTGCCTTCACAACCTAAATTTTCAGCCTAGGGAAGAGGAAATAAATAAATAATGCTTTTAAGTACAAGAAGAATATAAAATTCAAACAAATTTCAAGATAAATCCTAACCAATAATTTCAGGTGTTATATAGGTCACAAAATGCTCACACACAAAGACATGGTTCATTTTACAATCACTTTCAAGCAAATTTAATTTATTTATGTTTATTTTAATTTGTGAAAATTCGGTTGTAATAAACTTTGATTAATAAGGCTCAAATAAAAAACTGAGTTACTTACCTGCTGGACTAACTCATTGATCCGTTCTGTTAACATAGCTACTTTTTCTTCCTTTAGTGCAGCTGCATTGCTAGAAGGCTGCAAGAAAAAAAAAAAAACTAACATCATCAACCAGAGATTTAAAAAGAACTTACACAAAAGTAACCAGGATGCCTTTTATATATATATATCTTACACCATCAAATCTACAACTATATTCAGAAAAATACATTACAAACAGAAAATATTTCTTTCACTTGCATATCTACATAACTCAGAAAGAAAAACAGGACTTGCAATTTTATTAAAGGAGGGAAAAAAGTGCATAAAATAACCTAAAAAAAAAAAAAAAAAAAAAAAAAAAAAGTAAATTGGCCAAGATTGAAAATTCACAAAATCTTTTCACACATGTTAATCAGAGCATAGTTCGAGTTATGCCTGTTAAAATAGAGTTTCAAAGCAGGGATAATGCACTTTGGGACAAAACTGTTTCTTGAATATAAACCATTGGCACATTTTTTCTGTCAAAACAGTCAATACAAACATTGAACATTGACTCATCACTAATGAATGTAAAACATACAAGGTATATCTATTAATCTTCAAAACAATCACCAAAATAAAGTACACAAAATTAATTTTCTAAGAACTAAATTTTAAATATTTAATATTAAAACATTTTTATAAAATAGATCAGTGAGAATCTGTAAACTGAGACCAAAATATTTCTATTTAATTCAAAGCCCTAAAGTTTCCCCAAAAATAAATCTTTCATAATAGTAATCATTTTTGTATACTTTTTATACATATGGTAAAGATTAAAAATTGCTAACAGTTTAAGAAAAGATAATAAAACATCACCATATAGCAGCATGAACAAATACTAAATATACAATGTTTAGATTACTATGAATGGCTTCCTTTTACTAAGGTTGCTTTAAAGTATTTTTTGCACTATGGTTTTTATCTTATGTAGGTACTTGCATTGTTTTTTTTTAATTTTTTGCATTAGCAGTCAACATTATATTTATAATTAATGATTTAGCACCTTTATCAGGTGAAAAAAACACATGGATTTGAAAATTCTTGCAAAAAATCAAATAATTGGCAGATTTTAAATGAAATATTCAGGAATTATTCACAATTTTTTTTTTTTTTTTTTTTTTTTACATGTTACTTAATTTTTATGAAATTTCAAGAAATTAAATTTTTACCCAAAACTTTTTTTTATTAGCTAAAAGCAGGAGTCCATGGAGAATGTAATTTTTTTTTCTAACTACACATTTCCTAAAAATCTGCTCAGAATTGTAAAAGAAAAAATACAATACAACTATATTATTTAACTATAAAAGCTTTTAATTGCTTTTATAAGTATTTAAGGACACTATTGTCTTAAAAGAAATTTTTTTTTTCAATGAATGATGAATTTTTACTAAAGTCAACATTCCTAAAATTAGATTACGAAGAATATTTCAACATTAAGATTACAAAGTACTTAAATATATGTGTGCGTACACACACACATAAAAAAAAAGGGGGAAGGATTACCAGTCTTCCTTTAAAATTATGTTGTAACAGATAGTCTCCACAGAGCAACAATGTATCTGTCCACACCTTCATCAGCAGTTACATGATTGATACACAGTGACAAATACATAATCATCACTACTGTTTGTTTAAAACTACATTTGTTATTTTAAACTTAAAGTAAACATTTTTTTTTTTTCAAATCATACTTTAACTCAGCTAATACTTCACAAATAAAGTTTCAGAAAATTAGATTTTATTTTCAGAAGCCTTTACATAAAAATTACATTGTGAAGACAGACAACTAAAAAATGGGTGCTAATCAGCTGTTTTTTGGGAGAGCAAGGGAAGTTCCAATCAATAAAATTTGTTTGAAACAAGAGTATTTCGCTCACTGGAAATAGTAAATTTAACCCTTTAGCTTTCAATTAAAGTTAAAATGAAAGCCTCAAGAAAGCCTCTCATTTATCAAAATTCATTTTATACCAAGGTATCAAAAATTAGTGGAGGTACCTAATCTATACTATTTACTGTATGTAATAGAATTGCACTCATTTTTTTTTTTTTTATTCAGTTTAATTAACAAGTTCGAGCCTTTTTACTTCTATTTATGCTAAAGGATTTCAAATTCAGTGAAACTTAGATGGATTGGGGGGGGGGCTCTAAACTTACAAAAGAGTATATATTTGGTAGCTTATTTGAAATAAGAATTTTCTTTTAGTAGTTATAGAAATAAGGTTATGCTAATTATCACAATATGCCTTTGATGAAATTCATATATTTATTACTTACTAAATCAAAGTCTATTGCATTTTACAATTCTCTAAATAAACTACAATACATGGGTCTCTGCATGAATTTTAATGAACTTTAAACTGATGGTAACAGATGGCTACCTAAGGTAATAAATTATGCCAAGCACAGTGATAATCAATTTTAAATTATAATCTGAAGAACAAGGAATTAAATTAGAAAATTCTAAAATTTACATTATTTAAATAGTGTAAATTCACAGCTTTTATTCAGATCATACAAAGCTAACAAACAAGTGTGTAAGGAAAGGGGGGGTGTAGATTTGTAAATAAATAACGGATCAATAATCAAGTGATAGCTACTACGCCAGCTTGTTAACGTCTGTATATTCAAATTCACAGTATGTATTAATTAGGGAAAAAACAAAAACAAAAAACTTACAGTTCCCTGGGTACTGTTTAAAGCTAAGCGTTGATGTCCTCTTCGAATCCTCCTTTCCACATCAGAAATCAAAGTTTGGAGGAATCTCATAAATTCTTCTTCATATCCCATCTTTTCAAAACGACTACTCTTTGTATACCTTAATGAAATAGAAAAGTTAAAAAATAAAAACCAACCCTACAAGAAGTCCTTTTTTTTTTGTCTCTTCAAGGTTTTCAGGAAGAGAGGAGACAATGTGAGGAAAAAAATAAATAAGTAAAAATCATCAAGAGAAAACTAGTTAGGGAAAAAGAATGGAGAGATACTGTGAAAACTAATTGGTCTGAATTTCTAGGATGAGAAGTTATTTATATTTTTCCTCATTGCTGTTTTTATAACTATTCATAATTATGGGACAATAGCCTAGTGGATTAAACCATATGTTTTGTGAGCAAGAACATGACAAGAGATACTAACAGTAGAACAAAAATGTTCTAACCCCAGTAGATTAAATAAAGGATTCAGTTTAGATTACTACAAAATGTGATAAAGAAGAGGACATTAGTCCGAATGTAAATAGATAACAGTAACAATTAGTCAATTTCTTTACTTGATAAAACTGATATCTATAGAAATTCTTTACTGTTTGTAATTTGAACCTTTTTCTAAGGAACTTACTGATAATTTAAGTTATTTTATGTCATAGTATAATCCTTAGTGAAAGAAAAACTAAGGAGCATATTACATCCAATATAAATAAAACAAATTGAATGCACTTAAATATACTTACTCTTTTTTTAAAACATCATCATGAATTTTTTCACAATTACCTGTAAGTAAATAAAAAAAAAAAAAAAAGTAACATTTAAAATCAACAGTAAACAATTTTTGTAACAAAGTTCCAAAAATTTTATCAGATAAAGAGAATTTAACTTACCAAGATCTGCTCTAGTATTAACAAATAGTTCATGAGGACAAAATCCACACAGGAAATATTTACAAACCTAAAAAGAAAAAAAGAAAAAAAAAAAAAAAAAAAAAAGCTTCATATTTTGAACTGTATTGCATATAATTAAGAAATTCTGGAAATCATAAGAAAAATCAATGAGACTATGAGCTCTTGGCTCAAGCCACTTTCCAAAATCTGACCAAACATTATTATTATTATTATTTATACTTCTTGGTGAAGAACTTTTCAGCATTACCTAAATTTTTTTCATTTTCAGAAGTAATTTTTCAGGCTTCATTGATTAAATTAACTACCATTACCAACTCTTTAAAATATTGGTTATAGTTGTCGTAGTAGTAGTAATAATAATAATAATAATAATAATTAGTGATCTTCATACAATTCTTAAGACAAATTTGAAATACCATCCCAACTCAGTATTTTTATAATATTCACAATATAAAATGAATTTCATGGTAAAGAATCTGGATGGCCAGTATATTGGTTGCTGTGTGACAGTGCATATACCTGGGTGGCTTGTATACTGCCCAAAGTTACGCAAATTGTTTTTAAACTCCAGCTGGGCTGTAAATTCACCTGCTGTCCTCCCCCAAAAGGGCGACAGGATTTTCCAAAATGAAAAGTACATAAATCAACTTTAAAATCAAATCCACTCTACTAATTAATTGTTGTAGGATTTGAAACCTATTGAAGACAAATGAATAATCAAACATATGCTCACTACAAAACCAAATAAGCTGAGAGTAAAACAGTTCAAAAGAAACAAGTGAAGGTTTTATTTGGCTTACCATTATTGCTATTTGATCATTATGATGTGTAAAGAAAGATGATTTCCAGCTCAATAAGATCTACAAAACTCATGCAATGTTCAATTGTGTACTTGCCAAATTCAAGCATTATTATGTGACTGGTTGTGAATTACCATTAGATGAAGCTATGATCCAAACCAAACAAATTTTCCTTCAGACAATACATCATGGGGCAATCAAGAAAGTGAGGCATAAAAAGCTTTCTAATGTATGATAATGATATTGATTACATATACAATGATAAGCCTATACTAGTAGAAAGGATGTCACTAATGTCATACTTAATCTGGAAGTCAGATAACATGATTGTTCACCTTTTCTGGGCTTGTAAACCAATAGTTTTTTTTTTTTTTTGTAATGCCATAGTCAAATTAAAATAATACATGCTAAAACATCATCATATAACATGGTACTGGAATGCTGAATCGCAAGGATTTTCCAAGAACAGTAATAGAGAAAAAAAAAAATGACATGGCAATAGAGCAGAATATGAAATAGGCAGCCAAAAACACAAGGAACAGATGCAAAGTGTGTAACTGATAGCAAAAGTGACTATAAGGAAACTGCAGCAGATTCTAACAGATTTGGTAATGAGAAAAATTTCCTCAAAAGTTGATGCTTTGAATCTTAAGAGAGAGAGAAAAAAAAAAAAAGCACCTTAAGACTATACTTGTATGTTTACTTTAATCCTAGAGGGATAATTTATTACGTTCCTTAGCATAAAGACAAAGTGACAATCAACTTTTTATTTGGCAAGGATTACAAGACCGTTCAGAGGGAGGGAGGAAAAAAAAAAAAAAAAACACAACTCTGGCCTGATAAATATATTTTCCACTATGACAATCAGGAATCAAAATTAACATCATCCAGGAGACAAAGAATATTAGTTTAGGACAACTGGTTAGCTTTTTGAGAACAATGCCAAGAGGATACAAAATTAATTAAAATCTCTCCGATAAAAAACATCTTTTCAGCAATCAGTAAAGCATCTTCAAATTCTCAAGTAAAATTTATTTCTATAAATTTTCCTACACCCTTTCTCTTAGCTTCTCATATTGAATGTAGATAAAAATGTAATGGTGCAAAATTTGATCAGTCATGCAAAGCAGAAATTGTCTCTTTTGCTCCAAGCACTCTCAGAGGGGCAAATAAAACTAAAAGTTGGTCAAACTATTTACCAAAAGGTTGATATCCAAAGGATCTCAACCCAAACAGAAATTATAGTTTTGTTAGGAAAAATAGCTCATTATATTCATCTGCATTCTATTAAAAACTAAAAGCAAGAATGACAACTATATCAGTGGGTTAGTAACCAAAAGATTTAACCTGAAAAAATTTTTTTTTGTTTTCTAAGGCTTATCAAATCTTTGCAGGTTATTTAACCTTTAGAACTCTGTAGGTGACTATTTTTGCCAAGCAAAATGTTACTTGTGTAGTCATATCCTTCTATAGCAAGGCGTAAAACAATCGTGACTAAAATTGAGAGCCAAGCTACTACAATCTCAAATATATAGAACTAATATATAAAGTACTATATTTTGATGGGAGCAATACAGGCAGTAATATTTATAAATGATGCAGAGTGCTAAATGTTAAAGCCTGAAAATATGTTTCTTGCAAGAATTGGGGGGGGTAATGGTTTAATGATAATCTTACTAATTACCCATAGTTGGAAGAGAAGGTGAGAAGGGTATTTACATGTAAGTGAATATAATGAACCCAACAGGAATTGGAATTCAACTCTCAGATTAACAATTCAGAGCCATTAACCATTACACCCTCCAAGCTCACAGCATTTGGTATTCCCAATCGCTCACCCATATAGGTACTGATCAGGCTCGACACCACTTATCTTCAGTGATCATACGAGTACCGGGTTTCAATATGATGTGGCTGTAAGACTTATTGAAAGGCACCAATATTCTAATTTTATTTATTTATTCATTTTAAAAACATATTTTAAAGAAAACATTGCAAAAAGCATCAAAATAGTAAAATTTCCTTAATTTCAACTGCTGATATCTTATTTATCTTCAACTATATTTTGATAGAATTAGTATGAAAACAAAAGTTTATCTTCCCTTTACAAGGATAAAATTCATGCTCATGTGTGATTAGTTTTTATTCCACTATTTCAACAACAACTGCATAATCTTTCACATTTTCAAAGCTGACAATTTCATAGAAGTGTTTTTTAAACTTAGTTTAATGTTGGGTCTCCTTACACATTAAAATAGCCCCATCTTAAAAAAAAAAAAAAAAAAAAGGACACTAATCAATTTAGTGGGCTTAAGGTTTCAAGTTGTCTTTCACAAAAGATTCCTATGTTGAAAACATATCAAGAAATTAAACTTAAAAAAAAAGAAAAAAAAGAAAAGAAAATTGCACCTTTTTGTAGAGCAATGTCATGTTTCACCTCTGCACATGCAAATCAAAAATAGGATATACTGCATTTATTTTATGCAAAATCATTGAGTCTAACACATTGAAATTTGTATTGCTGACCAAGTGAATGTACACCGCCAGCTGAACCACATTCCAACTTGTTTCATTGATGAATATAATAGTTTAGAGGTTTTCCTTATATTTTCTTTAATGAATTTTAAAAACTGTATAAAGTACTTATTGTATTTTGTCCAGACTGCCTGGTTTGAATCTCTCACAAAAACCAGAGTAGATGTATTATTCCAAACTTAATCTGTGTGTGTGTGTGTGTGTGTGTGTGTGTGTACTACATGGTACAAACACCCATTAGTAACTCAAGCATAACCCATGTATATACATTATATACATACACGCACTGCATGGCAGACAAAGAATCAGCTCCGTTTTTATTTACTAGACCACCCATAAACCAACTGGATCCCTTTTAAAAGCAGTTTATAATTCTTGAGTTAACAATTGAGTTCTACAACAAAATATACATAGAAATCCCCTATCACATCATTAAATATTTGAGCTTAACTTTAATGCTGGTCATTATTTTAAAAAGTGGGTATAAATGAAAAGATTTGAAATTGACAACTTTTTCCATTTCACTGAAGTAGTCATTAAACACTTATTCATTCATTTTCTCACTGAAACCAAGTAGTCCCTCCTTCCATGTGATCAAAACAGAATAGTCCATTGTTTATGAGGTATTGGCAGCTTGTAACAGTCATGGGAACCCACAATGGGACAAGCAAAATTATAACAGGATTACACATATCATAAGTAGTATTTGCAATACATTATTGTAATAATTATTATTATTACTCACATTCTAGGTACTTCCAAGAGATTGAAAAAAAAAAGATTGAAAAAAAAAAAAAAAAAAAATAAAAAAAAAAAAAAAAATAAAGGGGGGGAAAGCATAGTATGATAAAGACGACCTTAAACTTAAAAACAATTTTATCACCAAAATGTTTGTTACTATTAAGAGGAAAGAACAAAGTAATTTTTAATTATTTTTTAAAATTTTTGTCTTTATTAGAACATTCCAACTTTTGATTGAAAAACCTAATCTCCTCAAAATACCTAACTCTGTTTTTAATCTCCTCAAAATACCTAACTCTGTTTTTAATCTCCTCAAAATACCCTAACTCTGTTTTTAATCTCCTCAAAATACCTAACTCTGTTTTTAATCTCCTCAAAATACCTAACTCTGTTTTTTAATCTCCTCAAAATACCTAACTCTGTTTTTAATCTCCTCAAAATACCTAACTCTGTTTTTAATCTCCTCAAAATACCTAACTCTGTTTTTAATCTCCTCAAAATACCTAACTCTGTTTTTAATCTCCTCAAAATACCTAACTCTGTTTTAATCTCCTCAAAATACCTAACTCTGTTTTTAATCTCCTCAAAATACCTAACTCTGTTTTAATCTCCTCAAAATACCTAACTCTGTTTTTAATCTCCCTCAAAATACCTAACTCTGTTTTTAATCTCCTTTTAACTCTGTTTTTAATCTCCTCAAAATACCTAACTCTGTTTTTAATCTCCTCAAAATACCTAACTCTGTTTTTAATCTCCTCAAAATACCTAACTCTGTTTTTAATCTCCTCAAAATACCTAACTCTGTTTTTAATCTCCTCAAAATACCTAACTCTGTTTTTATCTCCCTCAAAATACCTAACTCTGTTTTTAATCTCCTCAAAATACCTAACTCTGTTTTTAATCTCCTCAAAATACCTAACTCTGTTTTTCCTCAAAATACCTAACTCTGTTTTTAATCTCCTCAAAATAC